CTGTGAGTTAGCTATGAATCTTTTCCGTGTATCTTCTTCGTTTTAGAATGCAAACTGAAGAAATATTCCCTAATCTGGATGTAGTGTCATAGTCAATGGAAAAAGAACAAGAGAGCTGGTAGAAATATGCAAAGCTCTTAAAACCTCTGCTCAGAAGTGGCAAACATTATGTCAGCTGACATGTAAGTCATGTAGCAAAACAAAATATTAATAAAATGGAGACTGACATGTTTTATAGGTTTGGGGATACTAATTGGGAAAAATAATGCAGTGTACTGTATCTGCCTATCAACTCTAGATGGTTTATGCTTGAGACACTATTATTTTCACCTCATTACAATAGTCAAATCTGCATTCTAACCAATATTAAAATAATGTCTTTGGTCTTTGTGGGGACAGCTTCCATCCAGAAGCCTAACAAAAGTTGCTTCTTTAGAGCAAAAGATCCTATATGTCTATATGGCTTTCATTAAATAGAGAAATATACTTCAAGACCAGAAGGCACTCAGAAGGGTCTTGAAATCTGAAACAAGAAAAGAAAAAGACATATCTTCCAAATTACCATGAACATATATGACAATGCCAGAGAACATTTTATTTTTAAGGTTGCCAGCTGTACAGAGAAACTAACTACCCAGATAATTCTGATAGTCAACCCCTCTCATTCCTTAGAAATGGACTGGAACCTCTTGACCTAAAGTATATCTAGAATTTGTTAGAATATCAATTTTCAGTCTCTACCCCAGGCATACCAAAGAAACTCTGAGAAGGAGGCCCAGCAATATGAATTTTAACAAGCCCTCTCAGCAATTTTAATGCATGGTAAAGCCTAACCAATGATTTACACACCATTGACTTTGCTGATGTTATAAGAAACTCTTTAGACACATTAAATTCAACAGAGTTTAATTGAACAAAGAACAATTTGTGAATTGTGTAGCCCCTTGAACCAGAATAGCTTCAGAGAGACTCTGAAGCTGTCACATGGTCAGGGAGGATTTATGGACAGAAAAAAGGAAAATGATGTACAGAAAACAGAAGTGAGATATGGAAAGAGCCAGATTTGTTACAGCTTGTTGTTTGCCTATTCAAACACCTTTTGAGCAGTTGGTTACCTGTGAGTGATTGAAGCATGGCTTCTGTGATCGGCTGACACTTGGCTACTTGTTACAAGAGTAGTTTATAGTCTGTTTACATATTTGGTTAGGCTATAGTTCACTTTGTACAGAGAAATCCTTAGGCCAAACTTAAAATATATAAAGAGGCAGCTTTAGGCTAAAATTAATATAACACTGATTTAGTCTAGCCATGAGTCTTTCAATTAAGCAATTAATCCTAGTCACACATTTATTGAACTCCTATTAGATGCTAAGCACTGGGGATCCAATAAGATACTATTTTGGGGCCAGGCATGGTGGCTTATGCCTGTAACCCTTGTACTTGGGGAGGCCAAGGTGGGAAGATCATTTGAGCCCAGGAGTTCAAGACTATTCTGAGCAAGAGCAAGATCTTATCTCTACTAAAAATAGACAAATCAGCTGGCCACAATGGGAGATGCCTGTAGTCCCTGCTACTTGGGAGGCTGAGGCAAGAGGATTGCTTAAGCCCAGGAGTTTGAGGTTGCTGTGAGCTAGGCAGATGCCACACACTCTAGTCTGGGCAGCAGAGTAAGTCTCTATGTTCCTCCCCCCAAGAAGATGTTATTTCTTCTTTAAATAATAAAATACAGTCCCTGCTCTTACCAGATTACAAAGGTTATAGAGAGATAGATTATAATAGATTATAAAAGAGCATAATATGTAAAAATGTCGTTGTGAATAGCTATTGCGGAAGGCCAGAAGAGGAACATTGAACACAGAAATTCATCCTAAAACCAGAGCACTGTACACATTAGTTTCAGACTGTGGTGGACAAAAACCCTTTGAGTCCTGATGGCCTGAACCATGAAGGAGATGATGAGATAGCAGGGTGGGGGAAGTGTGGTCTTGAGCAACTTTCTCTGTGGACTGGAGAGAATTCATTTATACTCCAGCCCCCAGATCCAATGCTTTATTAATACAGAAGTGTTTGTGGAAGTGATTACAAAGCAGGGTGTATGTTATTTATCATTTAGTGTAAAAGAAGATTCTATGATCAGACTTTAAAAATTGTAATGAACAATTTCAAATAGAAACAATAGTAGAGAGAATTGTATCCTAAACCCCTATTTACATAAAATACAACTGTTGAGCTGGATAGTGTAAGGACCAAATGAGATAATGTATATAAATTCCTCAGCATAGGATCCTATACACTCTTTCAGGAGGCCTTCACTTATCTTACACAAGATATTTCTTTTGGTTTGCTAACCCAGAACTATGCAGAGAAGGGAATTTAGTAGTATTTGGTTCCATTTCATCTTAATTGAAATAATATAAATGCACTACAGTGAGTTTGTTTCAGTCATTTACTACTGTGTAACAAACCACCCCCAAACCTACAGCTTAAAAAGTAGCAATCATTTATTTAGTTTAGGGCTATGTAATTTGGGCAGAGCTGGGCGGGTGGTGGAATAGGTCATCTGTGCTCCACATGGCATCAACTAAGGTGGCCCCAAAGAATCCTCAGAGGCTAGCTGGGGACTAGAATTATCTGAAGGCTTGCTCACTACCTGGATTGGTGAGTGATGCTGGCTGTCAGGTGGAACAGCTAGCCTGCTCTATCTGTGTGCTCTGTCTAGCAGGGCAGCTTCATGGTAGCTAGATTTCTAATTGAAGGTTTTCAAATATATGGGGAAACCTGGCTACCATGAAGATGCCATACCAGAAAGAACCTTCAATAAGAAGGGGGTGGGGGAGAGTCACTTGTTCTTTCTGAACCTCAGTGCTCAAATTTTAAAAGCCAGCATTTAGTTTTGGGTAGCTCAGAAGACTCAAGTCTAAGGCAGGAATTTGAGTGTAAGTAGTTAATTCCTTGGGAGTTAATCCCAGGGCATATCTTAAGGGAGTTGAGAAGTGACATAGGAAAAGGGAAGAAGCTGCTAAAAGATATTTAATCAAGGAAGTTACCACTGTAGGCAAATGGAACCTAAAACTGTTGGGAAGTCCTTCAGAAACACTGTAGAATGGACATATCAAAGGTGTCCCACTCAAAGGTTAAGGGAGCTGGGTTATTTATATATCAACTCCAGCTAATCATTGAAGACTCTGGGGGTGGAAGGAAGGCACCAGTATCTCAGTACTGTTGGCATGCTAAATTCTATGTGGGTGGGAAATACCATTAGGCAAAGAGACATAGGTACTGATGGATGAGAATTAAGATTTTTGTTGAAAATACTAAGAGATGAAAGGATGTGAACAGGGCACTGACAGTGTCTGCTGCAGAGGATAATAGTTGTTTCCTTCCTTCCTTCCTTCCTTTCCTTCCCAGAAAGTCTCAACTCTGTCACCCTTGGTAGAGTGCCCTGGCATCATAGCTCACAGCAACCTCAAACTCTTGGGCTCATGCAACGCTCTTGCCTCAGTCTCCCAAGTATCTGGGATTGCAGCCCCCACTACAACTCTGGCTAGTTTTAGAGAAGGGGTCTCGCTCTTGCTCAGGCTGGTCTCGAACTCCTGAGCTCAAGCAATCCCCCAACCTGGGCCTCCCAGAGTGTGCTACTGTGCCTGACCCAATAGTTTTCTTACCATTGTGGGGTAAATAATATGATATATAAAAACCCATTCCTAGAGTGGTCGCTCCTTCTCTGGTTTTGGAATCCCCCAGAATAGCTCAGGGGAAGACCTTCATGGGTCCTGAAATGTTTTCAACACACCTCACATAATCATTGTCAGTTCCCTAAGGGGCAATTTTAAGAAATGGCATAAATATAAATGGGTTACCCAACTCCTTCAATAGACTTCAAGGCTGATTCTATCAAGTTTTACCTATAGCTCAAACAAAATTTCATCTACTAGAGTTCAGACTTCCCTAGTAGTCCCTCATAACTGATTCTGATCCGCTTAAGATTCCTCACAACTCTTAACCTCATTGAAGCTGCCACCGTTTCAGCCACCTCCTCCTCCTGTGTGTTCTGGAACTCATAACCTGGTGACATAGTCCAAGAAAGGTTGCAAATGCACGTTATTATAATATTGAATTCCTAAATTTATGGTCGTTTGGTAGTTAACTGCATCTTTGGAGGTTTTTAAGTAGAGGAATGAAATAATCCAATAATTAGAAGATTTTGGTGTGCAAGATTGGAGAACGCGAAGGGGGGAAAGCAGTGTGCGTGTGCGAAATTATTACTAAATCCATCTTGAGCCATGCAAAGTAGGAGGGGCTGACTTGGCCAGAAGCGCACCGAACATAACCAAGGGACCAATAAGAAAGAGGCAAAGCGAAGTGTCTCAACATGAAGTAAACAGTGGCCTGGTATCAGAAGACTAGGATTGTAGTTCAGGCCGCCACTGTCAGCTTTCCACTAGTCCTCGAGTCCTTCCCCATAAAACTGAATGGCTTTACCTCGCAGGGTTACAGCAGGGAGCGAGGGAACCGTGCCTGCAGCGGGCTCAGCACAGTGCCTGCTACAGGGTAAGCGTGACAACCCAGTTTTTTCACGTATTAAGAAAAAGGCGGGGGAGATAATACTATCTTTATCCCTTCTGTAGCCATAAATGGTGATGTTAAGCACCCGGCACACAGTAGGCACCCATCCCCAGTACATCTTCTCCCTTCACCCCATGTAGGGAAATACCTACTGCAGACTGCACAGCAGGCGACCCAGGAGCCTTGGTTACTCCGAAGCCCTCCGGTATCCCCTCCCGCGGTGCGCTGTTGCCGGGGTCCCAGCACCGCCCAGCTTCACCACGGGCCAATGGCAGCGCAGCTTGTGCACCGCCCTGCTTCAGCGCAGACCAATGGCGGCACGGCGCGGGCACCACCCTGGTACTGCGCGGGCCAATAGCTGTGTGGCCCGGCGCAGAGGCCGCCCCCAAGCCTGGGATGGCCATTGGCTCCGCCCCACTCCCCTCTGACCCGGTGTCTAGTCTCTCTGTCTTCCTGTTCCAAACCACGTGGACGCGCCGGGGGCGGTGGGGCTGCGGGAGGCAGCCAGGGCCGCCACCGTCGTAGTATTCCCCGCCGCTTGCGTTGCACCTCCGCGCCTGTCTGAAGTCGCCGCTTCCGGACTGCCAGCGCCTCTGCAGAGGGTGCGCACATGGCGACCCAGGCACAGTGCCTCAGCTACGCGGGGTGCAACTTCTTGCGCCAGCGTCTGGTCCTGTCTACCCTGAGCGGGCGTCCGGTCAAAATCCGAAAGATACGGGCCAGAGACGACAACCCGGGCCTCCGAGGTAACTTGGGGTGGGCACTGTGGACCGGAGTCAAGGGGAGGCGGAGATGATGCCGCGGGGGCCGGCGCGCTGGGGGGCGTCGGGGGTCCAGCGAGCGCGTCAGGGAGGGCGGGTGGCGCGTCGCCCCTACATCCGCGCGCGCCAGAGCACTGTGGGGGGGCGGGGTCGGGCCCCGAGGGGAACACTCAGCTGCACGCCGCGCTCGGCGTCTACCGGGCGCGTGTAGTAAACAGCTACACGTTTTCTAGTTTTATGTGTTGCAACAAATCCCTGGCATCGACCCCTTGCTTCTCTTGAGCCCCCTCCAGCTCTTGCCATAAACCTCTGGAAGGAGAAAAACAGTTTGTTGGACCGAAATGTGGTGAATGAGCCGGTGGAAGAGACATTTGGAGAGAAAAATACCACTGGTTGGTTCTCTCCTCTGTCCCGAAGCAGTCTCAGAAGCAGCTGTCCCCCTTGGACACCGGCTGTTCCTGTCGCCATGATTTCTCGGCTGCCCTCACGTTTCTCCTTGGTGTGGATAAAGAATTAAAAAAAATTTTTTTTGTGTTTGTTTTCAGCTGTGGCTGTGCTTGATATGCAAAGGACAGGAGCTTTTAGATAGATTTTTAACCGTCATGGGCCTAATTGCCTTGACTTTAGAAAAGGGTTGATGACAAGCGCTAAACTGCAGGCTTCGAAGCTCACTTTTTACTCTAGAAAGGTAAATGGATTAAAAACAGGCCCCTTTTAAACCTACCTCGCATTAAATGGCGCCCGTTTTCAAAACCCCTCCGCCCCCCATAAGACACGTGTGTTTAAAAGCTACTGTCTGGTTATCCCAAATTGGGAGAGTCGGTTTAAAAGGCAAAAACCTGTCTGCAAATTAAAGGAGCGGGTTTGTGGTTGGCCTTGAAAGCTTGCTGGGTGGTGTTGATGTATTTAATTTTGCACTGGCTCCAGTATTAGATGCCAGCCCATTTTATCATCTGTTAGATTTCTTCCCCTCTTGAGTGGTGATTGGTTGCGCATAAGGAGCAGAGATGCCATGTTATTGATGGACAATAGAAGGTTAGGAAGGAAAGAACTAGAAGATCCCATGTACAGTGGTGAGAATCCTGTTGATAGCCGGAAAAGCTTGCATTCCTGGTGTTCCTGTCGTCTGTCTACTGCTCAGAAACACTGAAGAAGATAAGGAGATAAATGGTTTATACTAGGGCTCTTCTCTACTTTTTATGTTTCCTTTATTTTGAGTCTGGTCTTTGTGATTGCTCGATTGTTGTAGTCTGTGGCATTTTCAGCCAGCTTTCCACTTCACCCCCAAGTTAGCACTAGCTGCCTGTGGTAAGAAGATGGGCTTCTACTTTCTGTGAACACTGGACATAGCTGGTTTTTTTTTTTAAAGATTCATTATACATTTATACACGCAGTTTTAACTAATAATGCAGCTAGCCACCAGTGAAGCTATTTACCCTGGAAATAAATATGTTCTTTTCCTTTAAACCTGAAAGTAAATGGTTGATTCATAAATATCAATTACCAAAAATATTTAGTAGATACACTTTTAAATTTTTCCTCTTGTTAATTCATGTACATTGTGTATTATTTCTTTGATATCTACACGAATCTCAATCTGCCTCTTATCCACTCATTTATTCACTAAGCAAGTATTTGCTGATTGCCGACTATATTCTAGGCTTACAGATAGCCTGGAATGGGATTATTAGAACTAGGACAGTGGTTCTCAACCTTCCTAATGCTGCAGCCCTTTTAATACAGTTCCTGTGGGTCAAGACCCACAGGTTGAGAACTTCGGAACAAGGAAGTCAAGATCTTACCATAAAAGGCAGCTTTTTAAAGGAAAAGTTGATGTTTAAAAAATCTGTTTTTGAATAGTGAAGACAAGAATCTGTATCTTGGGATAGCAAAGAACTGAAATAAAAGGTTGTGCAGAATTCAGCTCTCTAGAAACATCATGTACCAAGAGATGTGAAAATCAGTAAGGGGGAGAAAACTTCTGTGTGACCTAAATTGATGCCACAAATAAATTTGCCACTTATACCTGGGCTTTTCAGGCTTTCAGTAAAGTATGCACTTTATTATTTTGCTCATCTTTCTAAGACTGGTTATCTGCCCCCTTCCCCCTTTTTAATTCTTTGAAAAGGAATGGAAGTATAGCCTGGAGGCCTGGGCTTTCTAACAGAAATATAGTGCCCATAAGATACAATTCATTTTGTCTCTTGATAGGTGGCCTCTAATCTGTTAAACATAATATTAAATGTCCCAAAGGATGCTTCTCTTCCTCTTCAGCTGTCTGTGAGCATCTCTTCAGTACCACACACATATGTACTTCCATTTCTTCTAAGAACAGGGACTTGGCCACTTGGCTGTTTCCTGAAAGGGTGCCAGACCCTGGCATGGAGCAGTAGTACTGGTTGACAGATGTGCTAGTATTTTATGAAGAGCATTACTGTGGAGCATTATTTGCTCTAATCTCATTCTTATGCCAGGGGATCCCCTAATTTAGACCAGTTTGTGTTGGCCTCAGACATCTCATAGATGTTTGCTTAATTTCTTACAGAGAGACCGGAGAACTCTATATATGTATGTATACATATATACATATATGTACATGTACACACATGTGTATACATAAATATTTGTAACCTTTATTTGTGGCCATAGTCAAAGGAGTCCATGGTAGCTTGACTGAGGAGTAGCCAAAAGGTAGATGCTGCCGGTCATCTATGCCTTTCTGCCTCTTCCTGATTCGGGATCTTGAGAGCTGGGGAGAACTCAGAGTATCTTATAAAATCTTCAGCTCAAATGCAAGAATCACATCGCCTCCAAGTGCTGTTTAAACAGTGTGGGCTTTGGAGGGGTATGAGAGATTTTCTGCCTTAGGAATGTTCATTCAGAAAAAGTTTGAGCCCCGGTAGGTACCAGGCTTGTGGGGATTATAAATGTGAGAAGCTGGCAGCCCCTCATCTCACAGGGTTTTCCCTCTAGATAGGAAGAGCATGTGTCACTTGAAGCAGGAAGAGTTGGGTATTATACAGGAGCCCAGTGGGGTTCAGAGCAGAGTCTTCCCTGGAAGTCTTCCCTAATTGTTTTTGTCAGTCAAGTAAGGCCATTTCTACTGACCTGGTTGGATTATTGTGAAGACTAAATGAAATAATACTTCAAAGTGTACCGAACAGTGTTAGCTGGTTTTATTACTATGTAGCTGATACCCACTAGATATGTTATCCTTTTTGCTTCTACATGGAAACTTTTCACATCTGTAAAGAGAAGTATGTCTTCTCTTTATCTTCTCTTTTCAGTCTATAGGTTTCCTTTTAGATGACTGTTTCCAGACATTTGTGTATTATACTAGAGTTGTCAACTAGGGTACTTGTACTTTTGCTCCCTATGGGACATTTGGCAGTGTTTAGAGGCATTTTTGGTTGTCCTAACTGGTAGTGGAGTGGGGATGCTGCTGTCTTCTAGTGAGTGGAACCCAAGGATCATGCTAAATGGATGGCCCCCATAATAAAGAATTATTCTGTTCAAAATGTTGATAGTGCTGATGTTCAGAAACCCTGGCCTACTGGGCTTTAATAATTGAAAGCCTTTTATTTGCTCCATATTGCCAATGATTAGGAATAGCAGCCTGTGGTACCAAGAAGACTGCACAAGGATTCAGAGTGGGTGAGACACAGGTCAAACTCTGTGACTTTTGGCAAATCAGTTCCAGTGCTGGGGGGTTGTAAATAATGAGAAAGTTTTGAACCTCAAAAAGGACGATCCTAGAATGGTCTTTATAATGATATAGCCACGTGTGTAATTTATGCTTCATTCATGAGAAACATGAATAATTGTCTCATTGTACTCATCTTTCATTGAGGAGGAAGTAAATATTTTTGGTTATTGTTTTACTAAAGGTCAAAAAGCTAAGACATAGTTAAATGAAATAGCTGGTGAGGTTGAACGTCCATTGATGGACAGAGCTGGAAAGCGAATGTAACCAGCTCCAGGCTGGAGGGCCCATTCTTTCCTCCTCCTCTCCTGGTTTAACTGAGTGATGGACCTGGTTGTTGTTCATCAGTATTATAAAGCAGCTGTCCAAAGTACCTCTTTCTCTGCCTTTGGATTTCATGAAGACTGTGTCTTGCAGGGCTCAGTTTGACGATTTCTGTTTGATTTGAGGTCTAAGTGGAAAAGAACTCCAGTAGAATAAGTATTTAAAGTGGGGGTAGCAGGAATGATTGACTTGAGCAAGAACACTGATACAAGAGTCAGGAGACAGGACTGCTGCTACCCAGGATCCTAACAAGGCACATGACTAAGCCTTAGCATCTTCTCCTGTGAAACTGAGAGATAGAAGTTTTTCGGTCCCATAGAAGTGTTATACATGGTTTAAGCAGATGAGTTTCTGAAATAGAAAAGCTAAGTGGAGTTTTAATCAAAAGAGTCCTTTAAGAATGTTCCGAGGAAACATGCTATATAGAGGTCCTTCGAAAAGTAAAACAAGTTTTGGTAAACTAATGAATCGTTTAGGGGATAAATCTGACTGTTCATAAATTAGGTCTTTTTTTTTTTTTTTGGAGACAGTCTTACTCTGTCACCTGGGTATAGTTGTGGCATCATAGCTTACTGAATCATCAAACTCCTGGCCCAAGTCATCCCTCTGCCTCAGCCAGATTATTTTTATGATAATTTGATGTTGAAGCAGTCTACCCACCTCAGCTTTCCAGAGTTCTAGGACTATAGGCATGAGCCAATAAATTAGGTCTTTTAAAAGAAGGAATTTCCTATATTTTATTTCAGTATGATTTGAGCATTTGAGTTGTTGATAGACAACTGGATTGGGGGAATGCCAGATGACTGTGCTAATTAAGTATAGATTGAACATTGTCTTGTTGATAGGGACCTGTCCTTTTGTGCTTCTGTTGACTGATAATGTGGGCAAAACAAAGCTTTTAAAGAAAAATACCAAAAATCATAATGACTTGTTTCAGATATAGTATTATCTGGAAGCT